CTTGACTGAGGGTCTCACTGTTTTATTATGCATGGAAATCTAGCTACCAATCCGTCTCCACCGCCTAGACTGTAATAGTATAGTTACATAAGTATACTATATGCGTTATTATACTTACAGTATTGTCAGGATTGGTATATGAAGAACCATATGAACTCACCATTATTATTCTTGGAGATATGTAACCCGACATGAACATCGCACACGTACAAGTGGTATGTTCATGAACATATGTGCATTTATATGTCTTGTGCTATAGTTCATGAACATAGTGTGAACCATGCGTTCATATGGCTTGTGCTGTGTTCATGAACATTCTGTGAGCTAAATGAACATATATATGCACATATTCACTTGTTGATAAAAACATATATGTGTGTTAGTTGATGAGTAATTTGGTACATATTCATGATTGGCCATGAATGCCATGGTCAGAGAGTGATATTTTGGATGAATGTTTTTTGGGTATAAAGAACAGCTTTGAGAAAAGCAAAGCTTTGAACTGTACAACTTATATTACTTTTCAAATTAAAATATAAGATGAATTGTAAAAAAGGATAGTGATAACGTATGAATGAATGATACACATGAACAAGCCACATAGTGAGAGAATATTGTAGAAATAACATGAACATATAACATCTATGTATATGAACATGTGGTGCAATTAAAGAAAAAAGCTATCAGTACAAGATGAATTATAAAAAACACAACACATTGTAATGAACATTATTTCGATTAAAACGAATGTAATAAAAATAAAAATCTATTACCAAGACATTCGTTGGTTAATTTCTTCACTTCCCGACCTCGAACTCCGATTGTCATCATAAACCATTTTAATTTTCTCATTGTTGTCGATTTCTTTTCCATTGCGTTTATCCATATTAGCTTGATTTATACCGAAAATTCTTACTACCGTGTTTCCTATGCGAATTAATAACTCATAAAACAATGAACATGGAAAATCAAGATTATAAAAAGAAAAATATTAAAATTATATATGCGTATTTTTTGGGATTTGATGATTTGTAACTCCCCATTAATTGTTTGGGAGTTACATATCAAATCAATTTACTGAAAATACTCTTATAATTAAAAAGTGAACAAGACATAAACCTACAAGAAGAATGAAATTTGATTGGTTGAAATGGTTTTCAAAGGTAACACAAAATTGTTGGTTAACATTTGATCTTCTCTCTCTCTCTCTCTCTCTCTATATATATATATATAGATGATTGTAAACACAATTCATTTTTTATTTTTATATAATAAAAATTTGTTTTACAAAAAATGAGGTCATCCAAATAAGATAACTTTATGACTCAAGCCTCATGAGCTAACACAATATAAGATTTGTTTTGCAAAAATAAGATCATTCAAATAAGATGACCTTAGGAGTCAAATCTCATGAGTTGACACAACGAATTTCATCTTTCTTTCTTATACACATATTCTTATTCCAATTATGATAAATGTGAATGTTTCAAACTCAACCACAATTCATCAATACCTAATTCTAATGATGCCACATCAAGTCTCTTGAGTTGACACAATGAATTTCATCTTTTTTTTTTCTTCTTATATACATATCATTCCAATATTTCAATCTCTCATCAAAGTGAGATATCTTAAACTCAACTACAATTAACCAATACCAATAATTAATTCTCATGATGCACCTAATTACTTCTTGGTTCTTCTTTTAGTATATATATATATATATATATATATATATATATATATATCATCTTTGGAAACAATATTTATAATTTTAGACTAGTCTTTTATACAATGAAGAGTAAATTCTTAACTATGTTTAAAAAACTGGATTGTTGTCAAATAAGTCTTTATTATATAAATTGTATGCATTTAACAATTGTAAACCATGAGTCTGAAATTTTTGTAATCTATGACTTGGATCAATGATTTCTTCTAAGGTAGTGTCATACCCTTCTTTTTTGATAAAGAATTTTTAAAAAGATTTTTAGATCCAACACTTACGGAGTCTTTTTTTTAATTATATTTCTAGATAATCTATCTAAATTCATTTTTTAAAATATTTAAATCTAACAAGCCTAAAATAGTATTTTAAACTGGTTCTAAAGAGTAAAAACTGTGTTGATGGCATTTTTCAAAATTACACTTCAGCTTATTTTCATCGGTTAAAGTAACAGATTTTTTAGGATTCATATTAGTATGAGATGCATCAAGATGAGATGTCCAAGGTACACCAGACCAATCCCAATATGAAGCATAATTCATGGATGAATTTGAGATTAAAAGTGATAAACTATTCTTACGTTTCTCAATTTACCTCTCATTCTATCATTTTTGCTTTAAATTCTAACTAGAAGGATACTGACGCAATGCAGCGAGATAATCTTGATTTTAATATTTCATTTTATTTTTTATCTCAGTCAATATTATAGTATGATTTTATATGATTTTGAAAAAGCGATGATGTTTTATTTTTGAATAAAATATAAATTTAAAAATATCATAAAAAATTAACAAAAAATACATCGATATTAGTATCAAATTAACTATTTAAAATCTTTTTCTTTATGTAATTTTTTAATTCAATTTTTTTATTATAATTTAATTTAGTTTCAAGAATGAAGTAATTTATATTTGGTTTTATAATATAATTTTTTTATAAAGATAATAATTAATTATTTTGTTAGAACTCGATAATTATTTTAATTATAT